CAACATATCTGTCTTTTTAGTGTGTGCGTCCACACTTCTGACAGGCTTGGGGTTGTGTTTGTGTGGCAGATTAGGTTTGGGTGTCTTAAGTGTGGAAAAAAAAGAAAAGCGGACGTGTTGATTTGGTGTCACGGAGTCGGAGTCTGAGTGATCTGAGTCACAGGTGTGCCGGTTACTTTGGGGTGGGGCTCAGAGTAATATTTAATTCCAATAAAGATAGTTGTCAACACTTGCTTGAAGCAGCTGTGTACTCTTGTGGGTGCTTGGCATTTGCTTCTCTTGTCTGACTCACTGAGCACATTAAAAGCCACTTATTTGCCTTTGTTGCCGTGTAGCTGTGTGCCAGCGGAGATGATGCGCTCGCTCTTGCTTTTGTACTTCCCAGCATTTCACCAAAGTTCTAGTATTTTATATAAATTTCTGAACTGTTTTCTCACAAACCCCCCCAAAAAAGTCAAACATCAAACCTCCTATTTTGCATTAGCAGGCGTTCACATGGTTGCAGGAAACCTTTAAGGCTTATTGAAAACCTTTAAGATGAACACCAGATGCGTCTGTAATTTTGACACTTTTCAACATGTTGAACCTGACCCCGAATACCGCTGGCCCTCCTCACCTTTCCTCCGCTGGCCCCTCTCGTTCCCCTCCATTGATTAAATACACATATTTCTCTTTCCATCTGCCCGCCCATACCTCCTGTTGCCTTATAAAGTTTTGACCTAGATCCATAACGGGGAGGGAGAACATCCCAGTCGGGGGGGACACAGACATATCCCACTCCCCAAACCCCCATCGAAAATGTGTATTTTTAGATACTCGGTGAAGCAAACCTAAACATCTTTTCAGAAGTTACAGCTTCATATTTGTGCATTTGCTTGTGTTTCTTCCATCTCCTCCTTGGCTGTTTACGACCTATTACACCGAGTAATGAGCAATCCCAAAGATTAGAAGCCACTCATACTAAAAACTGCAAAAGCCAACATCTTGGTGACTTTTAAATATGCTCGTTATGTGTTTCGGTTTACTTCACAGAGAAGGTTTGGCACCAGATTCCCAAACCAGGATGAAGCTGGGGTTAAAGCAGCGCTTCAGTACAAATCATAATTGCAGCTTAGCAGCTCAGCCAGACATTAAGAAAGAGCCCCTAATTTTAAAAGACCACAATGGAACTTGATGGAAACCAACAGCATCCCATGGGTCTGTCCAGACGGGGTCTGAACCAACTCTCTATTGGCTGAAACAGGCCAGACCTGATGACAGACAGGCAGGCCAGAGCTGACAAACTGGGGCTCACATGTTACATGCTGTTTGTTCTGTACAGACTCCAAAATATGTGAGACATGGAAGCATGGGGTGATATTCAGACGGAGGAGAGGAGAGATGGGAATTGAGTAGGAGTGAATGAAATGAGAGGAGGTGAGAAGCGGAGGGGAAATGGGTTGACACTGAGTAAGAGGAGGTGGCAAATGTTGCAGGGAAGGTGGAGGTGGGAGGACATTTTCACATATTCATAAGGAAAGAGTTTTTGAGTTTGGGCGAAATAGTAAAATGGTTGCAGTTTTCTTTATGTGTCGATGTGCTCGTCTCCAATCCAACCCTCCTTGGAGGTAAAGCAAAAAGCACAATATGAAGTCAAAACGTAGCGCAAGGAAGCTGAGCAGGTGAAACATAACGTGGAATTGATGTAGAATACACTTCCTCAAAAAATGAAAGGAACACTTTTTAATCAGAGTTTAGCATCAAGTCAGTTAAACCTCTGGGATATTGATCTGGTCAGTTAAGCAGCAGAGGAGGTTGTTAATCAGTTTCAGCTGCTTTGCTGTTGAGATGAAATTAACCTCAGGCGCACTAGAGGGGCAGCAATGAGACAACCCCCAAAACAGGAATAGTTTTACAGGTGGCGGTCACTGACATTTTTTTTCACTAGTGTTGCATTTGGCTAGTGTCAGTGTCACCACTCACCACCCTGCAGAGCTTGCACAGGTCCAACACATCCAGGATGGTACATCAATATGTGCCTTTGCCAGGTTTGCTCGGTCTCCCAGCAAAATTTCCAGAGCATGCAGGAGATTCCAGGAGACAGGTAGTTACTCTAGTAGAGCTGGAGATCCTTAACCCATCAACAGGACCAATATCTGCTCCTTTGTGCAATAAGAAACAGGATAAGCACTGCCAAAGCTACATAATGACCTCCAGCAAGCCAGTGGTGTGAGTGTCTCTGACCAATCAGAAGCTCTATTGGGCCCTGTCCTCACTGCCTGGCACTATGTAGCCTGATTGGCATTTGCCATATAATACCAGAATTGGCAGGTCCACCACTGGTGCCCTGAGTTTTCACAGATGAGAGCAAGTTACATTGCTCAGCATGACCAGTCTTCATGGTTAGTCTTCTATGGAGAGATCCACAGACCTTTACTAGCTGGGCAACAGCGTCCTGACTGCCATTAGGTATCAGGATGAAATCCTTGGACCCTACGCTGGTGCAGTGGGTCCTGGGTTCTAACAACAAAGCACAGCCACATGTGGTGAGAGTATGCAGACAGTTCCTGTAGGATGAAGTAACCGATAACACTGACTGACTTCCCACACTCGCCAGACCTAAATCCAAGAAAACACCTCTGACATTATGTTGATGAAATATAAGCAATGTAAAAACAAAACGTGTTGTAATACTCTATAAAAATTAAATATAGGCCGACCTAGATTTACATTCATTTTGTATACCGTGTTGTTCTTTAATAGTTCCATACTGTGTGAAAGTATGGGTGAACTGATGCTATACAAATATTTAAAAAACTTATGTGCAACACAAGTCAGCTCAGAGAAATTAAAAATGACATGCCTCAAACCATTACAATCCAGACCTGCACTGATAACACCCAAAGCAGAAAACAGTGCATTTAGAGTTGTTTGGTATGTTATGAAAAGGTGTGTTTATAAAAGCAGGGATCAGGGCAAATACTCTGACTGAAGCTTTTTGATCAATAATTTATGTCCTTTCCATTTAATACTATTCTATGCTGTCAATTTTTAATGGAGTTTTTTTTTATCATCAGTAGTAAAATAATATAAATGTTACAATATGTGTGAAACTGCAAAGGGGGGGCTGAGGAGAAACACAAGAAAAAGATGAGAGCAAGAACTGCGCGTGGGGTGAGTGGATAGCTCGAGGCCAGTTGGCAGTGACCGTAAGTGCTTTCATTGCAAGGTGCAGCTTCTGTAGCTGAGCCCTTGAGCCAGGTCTAACAGCAGCACAAATGGATAATGTGTTAAGCATATTGCTACATTTTCTGCTAGAGACGCTGACATCTGAAGCTGGGAAACTGAATCGGGGCTCAGGACTTGGACAAGGTGCGGATAGGTGAGGGCAAGCAGGGCAGCATGGAGGTGGGCCTTTTGGAGGCGGGTAAAGGGGAAGGTGTTCAGCCACATCGCAGTTAATGTCCTGACTGAGCAGCTTATCGCATTCCAAAGCATTATCCCCGGGGACTCGTTTAACTGAAGGTGCAAGCCCTGATTTCTATGAATCACTCGCACCGTAACACTGCTCATTACTGCAAAGACTGACTGTGGTGCGACCCTGGGAGGTCTCAAGGGATGGGTGGTGACGCCACTGGCAGGGTTACGACCTTTGTGGTTGCACCGGTCGACTCATCACCGCCACCGTGCATCCCCAGGCCGTCGAGGGAGCTTCACTGGATGTTTGTGCAAATGCACATACATTGCACCTCCAATGCACCTTCTTGTTAGCTGCAGATGTAGTTTGATATGTTGCTGTTTTTCTCTTTCTGTTTTCACTGAGGATGCTCAATAATTAGTTGATTGGTGTCTTATTTCTAAGGAAGCCTGATAACTAAGTGTTTCTGAGAGAAGTGCGTGTGTGCGTTTTCAAAAGAGACAGAGAGCGAGAGTGGCAGCGAGCAGAGTGCTCAGTGTGTGCTTGTACTTTCTGCTGCGAATGTGTTCCAGATAGTGGTGCTGATGGCTATCTTTCGGAGAGAGCTCTATTGATTTGGCTGGGGTAAATAATTGGTTGGGTCTACAAGCTGTCATGTTCGGCCTGATTGCTAAGCATTGGTGGTCTCAAGCAGTTATCTTCCTCCATATCCCTCTCTGATCCTCCTCTAGCCTCCTTAGTCTATCTCTATATTTATTGATTAGGACCCTATATGGTCATTCTCCATCCTTAACTTTGGGCAATAATCCCTGTGCCAAAGCACTGTTTACAAGTTATCTGCTCTCCACTCCTTGTAGTATTGTAGATGGAGGGCAGGTACAATTTAAGGAGGCGAAATGAGGAGACTACAGAATGAGGACATTCGGAAGGGTCAGCTGTAATACAGCCTTTCATAGTGTGCCCTAGTTTTCCTTCATAGCAGGCTACTGAAAAGTGAGGTGTGTGTGTATGTGTGTAGGGGGGCTTCCCTGGAAACTCAACTTAAAGCACTTGAACTTATAAAGAAAATAAAATGCTCTCCGTAATCAACATGCCAAGATAAAGTCAGATTTAGGACATAATCACAAGTTTAAAAAAAGAAAAAACATCTTTAAATTGACCAAATAAAAAAAATCTGACTGCCAGCGCTGTGGTCTATGTCCTGCGCAATGGGAGGCCTGGGTGTCAAGTTTGGGAGGCCCTGGACCACATGAGGCAGCCTCTCACGGGGTCACTGAGCTGGAGCGATGAGAAGACCATTAGCGACCCCGCTTGAGTGCCTTTGGGAACTACAACCCCCACTGAGTCCAGAACAAGAGAGTTTATTATCCCGGCAAACCCACAAGGGTTTCTTTAGAATGGAGAAACGCCTCATTTGCTGCAACCGGTGGATTTTTGTCCATTTTGAAAACCTGTACCAAGACCAACACTGCACCCACATAATCCCTGAAAAGCCCATAGGGAACCGCTGAAAGGTATCCCATCCCAACAATGACTTAGCCATATTTAATTATGGTTTTGTAAAGTATAAATGTGGGGGGGGAGTTGAATAGCAGGACTGACACAAAGTGGCAGGGTTTAATGGGTTTAAAACGTTTTTATACCATTAGCTGCATATTTACATGTCATATATAGTAAAACTGAGTTCAGACTGGATTACATGTCATTCATAGAACTGCATTGGAAAACAGCGTTATAGTTCTTTTTCACACTGTGTGCTAAGTGTGCCCAATTTTAGGTTGTTAACTGAATTTCTTTCTTTTTTTTAATGCTTGTTTAACATGGAGCCCGCACCTAAACAGCCCAAAGCTAAATAAGCTCACGGTGGCAGCTCCTCGTGGAAGCCTGGAAGTTTCGGGAAGAGCAGAAAGCTAACCGGGAGCTGAAGTTAGCGGGGACGGTAAACTTCCTCTGCCACGTCTGAGCTCCAGCAGCAGCAGCAGCACTTCCCCCGGAGCTCACAGCCAGGACCGCGGCGCAAAAACGACAGGGACACACGTGAATTAATTAACGGTAAATTAATGAAACGAACACGACATTTTTCTCTCTTTCCCTGTCTTCCAGACTTTTTACATTTTTGGTTAATTTTGAGAGAGTATAAGCTGAAGTAGACGACAGATGTTTGCCGTCACTTCTGTTGAATTTCGGCAAAAGTAAGGAGTCGAAGTTTTTGCCTTTTTCTTTTTTTTTTTTTGTTGTTAAAGGAAAGATTGAAAACGCACATTTCCCCCTCTCATTCGTTTGTTCGGTCCCAGCCTGAAAACTTCATCAGCGTTAATTGTCGCACGTTGCTTCTTTCTCGCAGCGGGTGAGATAATAACCGTGGATCCAAGTGGGGAGGAATTTAGAAAATCAAGTTCTCACTGCTGTGGCTCTGTAGGAGCAGTTTACACAAATGACACTTTTACAGGAAAAAAAGGAGCCCTCAGGCTGTGTTTATATTGCTTTATCTCAACTATGAGTGTTGCAGTATGAGTATTACACTATTAAAAATCAGGTCAAAATATGCGCAATGAATAGTTGTGGAGGGGGGGCTTTGCTTGCCTTGAGAATGAGAGGGGTGCATTCTCCTCATTCCTCTTGCTGTTATGTATACACAGACAGATTATCTCGTGTGAGCAAATCCTCATACTGACTCTCCTTCCCGTGCTCTCTGTTCCAGAACAGCCATGCTGCCCAGGCTCCCTTTCTGTCTCCTAATTTCTCTGCCAGTTCTCCTGGTGCAAGGGAGCATCACTAATTCATCCAAGAAGAGCGCCGATGCCCCGGCCGGTCCAGTATCTCGCCCGCCGCCACTGCCTCCTCCACCTCAGGGTGACCCAAGCTGGACCCTAGGTCTGCGGCTCTACCAGGCCCTCCGCTCCGACTCGAGCTCCGTAAATGTCATCTTCTCTCCTCTGCTGGTGGCCTCCTCTCTCGGAGCACTGGGGGAAGCTTCAGTCGGTAACACCTCCAGCCAGGTCCGAGGTATCCTCAACCCACCGTCCCCCGACAAGGCGGGGACGCAGGTTCCCGAACGTCTTGCCGAGGCGTTGAAGAGCTTCAGTGAAGCCAACGGAACCAGCTTTCACCTGCACGCATCCTCAGCTGTGTTTTCCAAGCAGGTCTCTCCAGTCGACCAGGCCTTTGTGAAGCAGAGTCAGGCTAGGTTCAGAGTGCAGCATCAGACTCTGGGGAAAGGAGACTCCAAGGCTGACCTGAAGCAGCTTCAGGACTGGGCTAAGGCCGGCCTTAGTGGACTGGAAGGCGCTCCTTTGGAGGCCGAAATCAAGGCCAGGGCTGGAGCTTTGATCCTGGCGAATGCAGTGCGTTTAAAAGGTGTGTAGAAACAACATTATTGTAAATTAAATTAGTGCAGGGTTACTAAAATATTAAATAACAGTGAGCATCCAATTTTGCTTTTAAAACCGTGGGAGCGAAAAAGCTTGATGTCTTTTCCCGTTTTAGATGAGAGTATGGCGTGCGCCATTTTTAGTGATCACACAGCACAAGTCTTTGCTCGCTCTGTGGCGCGTGCCAGCAATCCCACCTGTGTGCACCCTGCATCTCCATGGGTGTGTGTGCGCGTGCATGTGTTGGACTCCAGCTGGTGGACACAGCAGATAAAGGATGATTCTGGGGTCTATCACTGAGAGCTTATTCATCTTCCATTGGGGGGTGATGTGTCATCTTAAATAATTGAGTAACAAGTGTCCAGACTCTCTCTCCCTCGATGTCATGCCTAACATCTGTGCTCGGAGCGCTCCAAGTCTGCGGCGGCACATCTTGGCTCGGCTCTGCTCTTTGTGACAGGCTGCAGTGGTGGAAAGCAGTCAATATTTCTGCACGGACGCAGTCGGTTAGAAGCTCCATCTGTGATTTAACAGTTGCATCCCAAAAACATATCCATCTAAATCCTTATCTGAGGTTCATTATGGCACGCTAAATGTGCCAATAAATATCGCATTTTATTTTCGAGGGTCGGCAATATTTGTTCATCCGCACTTATCATGAGTCAAGGAAATGACTTATTTTCCTTTTTCTTATTTCTTTTCCCTTTTTTTGTGTGATTGTGGAATTTAATCTACCATCTCCTCCTTCGTGTCTCAGAGCACAGCCAACATTTTGAATGCCCGCTGACGTAGATTCTCTTTTTTTTTTTGTTTGCGGTCTCCACAAAAGATGATGATGATGATGTGTTAAATATATCCTTCTGTCTCGCTTGTTCCTTTTTTTTGCAGCGTTGGTCTCTGTTTTTGTGCTTTTGTCACTCTCTATCACATGTCTAATCTACCCCTGTCTCCTCTCCCTCTCCTTCCCACATGTCTCCTGTTCACATCCTCCTTATCGGTGTCTATCTGCCTCTGTTCCTTCTCCTTCCTCCTGCAGGTACTGCTTTTTTTTTTTCTTCTTTTTATTAGGTAGAAAAAAATAGAAGGCAAGGCTCCTGAAGTGAAAACAGGGTTCTGGCAAAGATAGACAACCCTTCAGAAATAACACTCCCTGACAGACTATACATTGATAAGCAATTTAATTAATTCTCTTTGTTTGATGTTTTTTGACTTCATTACAAAATTAGTTTTGTTTTTTGTTTTTTTTCTGCGAGCCCACCCTCATTGGTTGGTTCATTAATTTCGTGGAGCAAATATACAAATTAGATTATGCAGCAGATTGCAGCTGCAAATTAGATTACGGAAAATTGGATTCCTTTAGTTTTGATTTATAATTTTCAGCGTGGTCGATAGTTTGCTCCTTTCTCAAACCAGCAGCTCCTGCTTTTGTTCCAACTTTTGTTTTTTTTCGTTATGTTTGGGATTCCAAGGACTTAAAGCAGTTGATGATGTGTTATTAATGGGATGTTTTCAGAGGTCTCGGGTGTTATTTTATTTTAGATGGCACTGAGTAGGCATCTCCATCCGTCCGTCCCCCCCTCCCCGCTTTTGTTTGTTTCCTTTCTCCCTCCCTTCAGTTAATTATTGAAGGAAGAATTTAAAAAAAAAAGGAAAAAAGCTCTTTGCTGTCGCTCCTCCCTCGGTCTGTACAGAGCTTTCAAAGAAAAGGAAGGTCAGGGCCAATTAGTAGCGGAACATGTTTATAGCGGAGAGATGCGAAAAGCAAAGAGGGCCAAAGAGAGAGGGAGAGAAAGAAAGGGTAAAATTAAATGAATAAAAAGGGGAGATTTCTGGGTGGAAAGAGGCAGAAGAAAAGCAAAGAGATGGGAGTGATTGGAGGAAACTGAGAAAAGTAAAGCGGGAGAGGTTGGCCTGCTGAGAATGAAAGAGATGGACTGTCATGGTGGAGGGGATTGTAAAAGGGTCTGCCTTTGGGAGTTCCAGTCCACTCTGGTTAATTAATTCATGCTTTGTTTTGCTTTAGACAAACACCAGTGACAGCAGAGGAAAATAATACTGGGAAAAAAACAGTGGAGTGAAACTTATACAAGATAATGCGACAGCACTGGGGGACTGAAAAAGGAGAGGCGGCACATGAAGCCCCAGCTTATTTAAACTCTAATAACAGCTTCTGAAACAGCACAACTGCACGCCATCACGAGTCGATGAGGGAAGAGACCGAGCCGCGAGCTCGCATCGATTCTCCACTGGGTTACGCTTTAAGTTAACAGGACGACTCGGTAGCTGTGTGAGCGCCGCGCAGTCGTCTCGCTGTTTGTTGCTGACAGCTATTAAAAGGTTCAGGTTTAAAGCCGTCGCTCTGCTGCTGCTGTGCAGGTCTGTTTGGAGGTCAGCAGGTCATTAACCCCCCCGTGCTTGTTTTTACACGTGTGTACCGTGGAGAAAATTGTTCATCGTCGTGACATCATTTCAACAACACGGTTGCCGCTTCAGGGAACCTTCAGCCGGCCGCTTTGGAATTCCAAAGCGTGTTTCCCAGGAAGCGGACTGAATGCCTGTGATGTGTGCTAGCATGCCCGGGAGGGACAATCACACGTCTTTTCTGCTGCGATTTGTGTTTGGCTGCGCTCCATTCGAGTCTGGTTGGCTTTTGGAGATGCCACCCATGGTGTTGAAACAATTAGTCAGGCAGCTATTAATAAAAAAAAAAAAAAAGAATAAGTGTGGAATTTAATAATAAGTTAAACAGTTTAAAGAAACTCCAAATGTAGACAAAGTGTAACGAGGCCTAACAGTGTGTGAAAACAGTCTTCCTCGTCTCTGTAACTTTCTAGTCTGGAGATAAATGGAGCCAAACATCTTTGAGGTTCACCATAATGGTGTTTGTTGCTTTTATGATTATTTACTTATTTTACTTATCCAGAATAAGTTTCAGCCAACCAACTCTGTGATCCTCATACATAAGTGGGTCGGTGTTTCTTTGTAACACTTTGGTAATGAAGTGAGTGTTTTTTTTGTTTTGTTTTCTTGTGATTAGAGAAGAGATTTGCAGATAATGGACTTTAAACCAGTGGATGAATAGATGATGGCTGAATATGTCTTGTGTATATATAAGTGAGGTAACACAGTGACGATGCTATGTTGCTTATCCTAAGAACATTTATTCTTAGGTGATTTCTTTAAAACTCTTTTACCCAGATGATGATGTCTGTGATTTCTTATTTTTATTACACACGTATATCTAAACCCATGTTCTAAGTTCAAATGCTTTTACTGGAAGAGACTGATGTTGATGGTTGCCGTGTGGCTGTAACACAGCCTGTTACAGACTGCTGAGACCATATCATGTAAAATGCACTGATAAATTTTGCTGATCGTTCTAGTGAGCAGATTGGCGTCCCTATGAATTGTGGGATAGCACTACCTGTTTCAGCCGCCACCGTGTCAGGCAGCTGGAGTTGATGTCACCGTATTTAAGGACGGTGACGTGTCAGGATATCAACCAGTTAAGCTTAACTGGCAAAGGTGCATCTACAGACTGTATGATCAGAAACCAGAGTGCAGGCTTATTGGTTCGGTGTGTTGGTCACATGTAACTGTGGTTTGTTTTTGTCAAATACACATATCTGCAAGTTTCTTGGGAAAATGAGAACAAAATTGCACAAAATTGAGCAGAAGCAGTTTCCTTGTGTCTTGTTTTGTTAGTGAAACCCAGTACAGTGTATACTTATCTTAGCAGTGTGGAGGAGTGTTTTGACTAAATCAGGCTGAGCATGTCATCTGTCTTCACAACTTATGGCATGTGAGGTATATCTTTTTGTCTTAAGGTAAATTATGGGGCACTGTGTCTTGTATTGATCTCTCCTTAAAGTTCCTGTGCTTGTAGGTGTCACCTTGTGCTCTGAGAACTTGGTCTGTTTTTCTTCAGAGGAATTAAAAACAGCGCGGACAAAAGACGAGTCTGCGCACAGTTCTTAATAGAGGTGCTTAATAATAAAAACCAAGCAATCAGTCTGCAGGCTTTCACATTGCCAATTGAGGCATTTCATAGTTTTTGGCCTCCTTGAACCTTAGCTTTGTGTGACGAGAGCGCTGACCTTTTCAAATGATTTATCGATAATGAGAATCATCATTAGTTATAGCCCTAGCCGGCCTCAGGTGTCATTCACAAAGAGCGCGATGGGTACAAGTCATAATCTGCCGACCTCTACGCCCCATCCAATGTCCCCTGCTCTATTGAATGGACCAGCAGCTTTCAGAGTGTGTTGTGAGGTTATTACAACGGTAATTCCTCCACTCTTAGCTCCTCTTAAATTGACAGCTGTCAGGAGGTTAGCAGGGCCAAGTGGGATGTGTTGAACATTGAATAGGGGTCAGTAGCCTTAAGGTCTTCATAACTGCTGCAGTACAGCACTCTGCCTCAGCAGCTTTCAGGAGGGTATACATTTTTTAATGGGCAGTACACACAGATGATTCATGAGCAGTGCCAGCCAGTGTCGCTCTATATGTGTTTTATGAACATGGCATTGTTTAACCTATTGTTCACTTTTTCTCCTGTTTCATTGATTTTTTTTTTTATCCTCTCCCTCCCCATGCAGTCCATCTATATGAAGCATGCTGTATTTAAAACTGCTTTTTCTTTCTCTTTGCTCAGGGCTGTGGGAGAGAGAGTTCAACGAGGAAAGCGCAGATCGCCGTACCTTCCTGGGAAAGAAATACACCAAAGTGGTGATGATGCACAGAGCAGGTAAAAAAAATAAAATAAAAAGCTGTACGCAGTCTGTCACTGCTCTATTCCTGCCAGGGAATAAATGCAGCGAGAAGGAATCCAGCTCTAAAAGGGACGTGAATATTTGTGAGGTCCAATATGCCTCGCTCTAATTTATCAGTGTGTCCCTAATGATTTATTTAGCACATTTTCCATATTTTATGCATTGTCTTAAAACAGCAACAAGGCAGGGTGAGTTTCTTCTAGGATAACAGTTAAGAGATGTAGACCGAATGTATATTTCTTTTAATCTCATCTATAATGTCACTTTCAACTCACGAGTGAGAATTGTGTTACGGCTGGCTTGTTGTCGGCCTGTCGCAGCTTGCATTTCCTTTATGTATGAAGCGAAACTAACTCCAGCATTCCCTCTGCGAGTTCACTCGGTGATAGAGGGAGGTGGCGCCGAACGACTGCAGCGACACGGCTGAAAGTGCAGCTCTGAACCAACTTCCAAGAGAACTTCTGCATTAAACTACTGCTAAAAAAGAAAACGTTACTTCACAGCACTGCTTCTCTCCTTGACTCTCTGATCTTTGCTCAACTCTTTGCCTGCCCCCTGCTGTCCCCCTGCTACAGGTTTGTACCGCTTTCATGAAGACACTGACAACATGGTGCAAGTTCTAGAGGCGCCTCTGTGGGGAGGCAGGGCCAGCGTCGTGCTCCTGCTGCCCTTTCATGTCGAAAATCTGGCTAAGTTGGAAAAGCTGCTGACCCTGGAGCTGCTGTCCAAGTGGCTGGAGAAGGCCAGTGTAACCAGCGTGGCCATCTCTCTGCCCAAGGCAAACATCACTAGCACGCTCAGTCTGCAGGTTAGTTCAGCAAAGTTTGTTTTAGTACAGTGGCATAAAAAGATTCTTGCTGTGAGTCAGGTCCTTTAAATTCAGCTCATACTGCCTTTCATTGTCATATAAGTCTCAAACGGGTCCTGCTAATGCAGTATGGCATAAGTATGGCTCTGAAGTGTTTAAATAGAAGGTTGAGTTAATCTTACTTCTTGGAAACGCATGTAGGAGTCCTGGTTACACCTTGTACTGTTTCCATGTGTTAAAGAGACATCGGTAGGCTTGGATAGTTTTTTCCCCTTATTTTCCTAATATTTCACAAGTTACTGTATTTTTATGCATTACTTGTGTTTTGTTTATTTTATTTATTATTTAAAAAAACCTCATAATTAAAGCTGTTGTCGAGTGATATCATCGTTGCTATGGATTGTTAATTACCGTTGGCTACCGAGGTAGCAAGGCTTGAAGTAGGAAGAATGACATCCTGTGTCATTATAGCCGGGCAGTGTTTTGATCTAGAAAATGAACAGCCGAGTCAGGAAATGCTGACTGGAGCTGTGTGTAACCACATACAATACAAGCATGTTGATGTTAACCTACAAGAAAAGAAGGCTGCTGATGCTGCCGCTGCTAATATTAGTCATTTTTAGGTCTGGTAGTTTTGCTAATGTTAACTGGTTACAAAGTTAGGAGCTAGAACCCTCCAACCTCCGTCCATAGATTGTTGCTGAAGGAATCTGTGGCCCTGCTGTAATGGACACTAATGCATTGAGGGGGTGAATGAAGAACATGTGCTGATGATGATTAGTGAACTGGCATTTTCAAGTGTTACGTTCTTTAGACAAGGGCGCCACCAAGGAGGGGCGCCCTGGGCGTGCCTGTCCTACTTTGGTAATAATTAAAAAAAGGTAAAGGTAAAGCTGGTGCCAATCCCTGGATAGATCACTGTTTTTGATGTGCCGGCCCAGTATTTTTAGAGGCCACCCCTATGAAAGTAATTCTGGAGGCACCGCTGTCTTTAGGTATAACTTTGCCCAAATTTCTTGGGTCACAATCTCCTCTAGCTTCTATGGTCACGATGCTGTTTTCCTTTTTTTATTCTTTTTTCTTTCTTTTTTTTTTTTGCATTTATACGCAGACCAGTAGACCAAGTTGTTTTTTAAGTAAGTTTAAAGTGCGGTGAAGTGGGAGCTGTGCAGCTGTTTCAAACCCTAGTTGAATTTGACAGAGTGGATCCCTGCGTGCAGCTTCAATTCTAGTTTCTTCTTCCATTCATTTCCTGTATCTGCGCACTGCATCATTTTTCACTCCACCTGATACGCTTTCTCATTTCACCCAGCAATGCAGTCATCATTCTCATTGTTTCTTTGCCTGCTTTATCCTTCTCTGGATTTTCCGCATCTCTTCATTATTCCCTGCCTCTGTCTTGGCCGGCTGCTTTTCCTGTCTTGCACTCTTCCTATCTGTCTACTCTTTTCTCACACATATTGGCACCCCCTCCCACCCCATCCTTTGGTCTTCCTGCTCTTCCTCTATGCTGTGTCGTGTTTCTCGCTTCTATTTTCCTTCTTTTACTTTCTCCTTCCATTCGGAACGTGACCACTGTGTCTTACTTAGTTTTGTGCCTCCTTCTTCGACTGCTTTTGTCTTTTCTTTTTTAGTACTGGCTGTAATTGAAGCCTCAGTGCAGACGTTGGCTAAGGTGAGTTCAAATGTCAGTCCTTTCCACTATTCTCTTCTCACTCTTGAGGTGAAGGGTGCCCAGGTGTATCAAACCTGGGTACCCAAACCTTCCTGCTCGGGGGCTAAGAGGGGCCCGAGGATGACCATGACCTGTACCTCCTCTGTGGGGTCCCGGTGCCTCCCACAGGCCTTATTTTGCAAGAGCACAAAGGTTATGCCACAGCCCAGCTGGTAATGTGGATCTCTGCTCCTGCTACTCCCAGGGCCAGCAGGTAGCTGGTCTGAGGTACTGAGAAGTGAATAGGACAGCCAAGCGGACAGAAAGCAGCTTAGTGGCAGCTGATGCTAATGTGAGTGCATTAGGGTTGTTAAGGTTCATCCAGGCCAAACTGGAGGCTGCTGACTGGGAGGCTTGAGAGTTGTCGGGCTGGTGGAAGAGCACGTATTTTACCAGGCCGAGAGGTGTCTAACAGGGACACAGAAACATACAAGCTGCTAGAATCACACGGGCCTTTCACCTTCAGGAAATTCCTGCTGAGGGGGTGAAAGTGGAAGGAAAGTTTTCTGGTCAGGTTTATGGAATTGACATTAGTTGCAGTCACATCCATAGTTTAACTTTAATACTTTTCACTTCTCTTTGTGAAATACTGTTCTTCCATGTGATGTTCCACGTGGCATCTTGTAATTATAAAAAAATCAAACTCAGATTTTCCTTTGTGGCTCCAAGTAAACTGTTGAAAAAACAAATAGAGGAACATGGCTGAGATTGCTAATTCCAAGTATCTTGAGCAAAGCACAGGAAGTAGCCTGTGACAAACAGCCAGTTTAATTGTGCTCTGTTATTACTAATACTACGTTGTTATTATTATTGACAACTGATGGAGCCTTTCAAAGAAGAAGTTTGCCATTGAAACCAGAACAGCTATGCTGAGCGCTGGCTCAGAATGACAGGCTGCTACAAGAATCTTTGCACCTTTGCAAGAGATGTAGGATAAAGGAATTTCCTAACAGAGATCTATGCAGGTATGCATGCAGCAAAGCATGAATAAGGAGAGTCAAGAAAGGAATGGCATTTAAGATCCTTGATAGCCATTAAAATGTTCCTAGATTTAGCTCAGTAGTGGATTTCTAGCATCGGTAACATCGGTTTATGGAGTTTACTCTCAAGTGGCCGTTAGAGGAACTGCAGCTTCTGGCACCATTTTTTCTGGAGGTTGCTTTTTTTACCATTTCAAACTTTTATTACTTAAATTATTTTTTTCTTCATTCCTCTTGCATCTTTTCAGTGACTTGTTCTACTTTGAAAAATTGGTTAGTCTTCAATCTGACTACACCCAGAGACCAGTTGATAACACAACAGTTGTGGATGAGCTAGAGAGAAGTAGTAACGGGGGGAGGTTAGTTTAACCTGACAGAAGCAGAAGCATCCCAGTAAAACCCATTTCCCCAGGGCAGTGGACACCGACTGCAACCTTTGCCGACGTCCTATCCATATGTATGCTGTAACCTCATCATGGACTGATGAAATCCACTTTGCCCTCGTTTTACTTTAGCAAACATCTCTGTAGAGCTGTGCTACCATGTTATTCTGCTAGCTGCGCCCCGGAGAACAAGCTTTTGACATTAACATTGTCAGGAGACTCTCGGGAGGAGGATGTAATCTAGAACTAAAGCTTGAAATGGCTTCTGACACGCCTATGACTTTGCCAGAGAAAGAGCAGAAAGCATCCTGTTGCACAGACCCTCCTTTGTCTCTCCGAGGCAGTTTTACGGACAGAAAAAACAGAAAACAGAAAACCTTTAATGGTCTTAAATAACTAAAAGTAGCTGTACAGTGTTCTCATTATGCAACCTAATTATGGGTGAGCACGTTTTGGCCCCGTTTGACTCGTGATGAGTTGTCTTCCTCCGTTTGCTCTCTCAAGAAAAATAAGCGCATTTGTGAAATCATTGCGAAAGGACTCAAGCTCCAAACAAAACCCTCTACCCACTCTGATCTCATTGCGTCTGTCTTCCCAAACCCTCTGGCCAGCGACAGTTCCGTGTCTTCACTGACAATCATTTTTCCAATTGGGTCAGCCAAATAATTGCTCATCACCGTGCGTTAATGCTGTTTACCACTTTGTCTGTCAGTGCCACGGATGGCCATGGAATCCTTAGATTAGAGGGCAGCATTTGGAAAAAACGATGATCTTAGCAGTGTGTGTGTGTGTGTGTGTGTGTGTGTGTGTGTGTGTGTGTGTGTGTCTGTGTGTGTCTAAGACTTTCATCTTGTGTGCGTAGCAAATGAGCACAAACAAAATCGCACACCTCTGACTCATGTTGAGCGGATTTGCCACATCCAAAGGCATCGTTCGCTCCTTCACCCCAGTCCTCCGCGTTGTATCAGTCACAGGGATCTAAATCCTTTTTGTAGGTCAAACATGTGCCTCTTGTAAACCATCGCTAAGCGACTGAACCTTGGCTCCGCTGACCTAAATGGGAGTGACACTTAGAGCAGGGCGATATGACGAAAAATATTTATCACGATATACATTTGAAAATTCGCGATAACGATATAACTGACGATATAATTGACACTAGACAAAATACTTTACAACTCCACAACTTTATTAGTGCAAAAAAAACCCCATCAATGTATTTTCACTTAAACAAGCAGCTGTTTTTTATGTGCATTAAAGTGATATAAAAAGTTAACAGTGCAAATGCAAATTCCTTGCTGACAGTTTAACCAAAGGCATTTCCAGTGGAAACTGGCCAACATATCCTCAGCATAACCATGTATAACATCCACAAAACTTAAAAAGAGGTTATACACACACAACACGGTAATATTATGTTGAAGCACAGTACGTATCACTCCGCGAGGCTCCTGACTACGATAGTCGTAATGCTCCGACAATCCATCAAGCGGTGCGGCTTCGTAGCTTAGCAAAGTCGTACTAAAACATTTGACCGATTTTCGAGCACCGTGTACATAAAATCGTTTCGAGGTCAGTAAACACAACAAGAATTCATACATAAGGCACACGGGATTATAAGGGGCACTGTCGAGTTTCAGAAAAATCAAAGGATTGATTTTAAGTGTGCCGTACTTTCCAAAAAACACGGTAATAACGACGGCCCGCTAGCATGCTCTACCAAAAATAGTGCTTTGTTGTGTGTCTGACGGACGAAAGCCAAACCAGTTCCACACCACTGAAGTTGCAGCATTTTTACAAACCAATTCTGGTTCATCCGTTTCATTCAACGATTTGCTTTCGCCGCCATGCTTTTTCCGACGTGTGCGCAGGAAAAAGGCACTGCGCATGCGCGTTTTACCCCTATTCTATTGCGATATTTCATTTTTCTATCATTGCCCAAAATTATACCGGTATTACCGTGAACTTTATGATATGGCCCAGCCCTAGTGACACTGGCTGGGAAAGTGAGCAGGAGAGGTGGGAGAGAACGAGAGGGGTCAATAATTGCTTGGGGACGAGGTGGGAAGCACACGAAGACCCATACAGAGCAGCAAAGTGTGGCATTTCTCTTCCTTTCTGTCTCGTCGGTGGTGGCGTTTTTCTCCGGTGAAGAATAGGAGTGTGACGGGGTCTGCAGCCAGAGACGGAGAACCCTCTTAACAAGCCTTGCCCAGAGGTCACAGAATAAACCACACTCATTCCTTTTCTCTCTGATCCACTGCTGACCAGGCCACACACATGCACGCACACTCACTAATGGCCAAACTTGAGCTCCTCGGTGGCTATATCTCCGATTGGTGACTAAGACATATGAGTGTTCACCAGAGAGCTCACTCAGTCATGGATAATGAGGTCAAAAGGCCATCAAATATTTACAAGAGCGCACTCTGCAGTATACAGTGTCAAGGGGCAGCTGTTTTAGCACAGCTACCATAGCCCTGCATCATATGAATTAATCAGATGTGTTTCATGGCCATTAGTTAAACATCTCGCTGAAAGCTAAGGCTTTATTTTCCTTTTTTCTTTTTCTCTTCTCCAGTAAAATGGGCTCATAGAATAAAGCGCTACTCATGTGTCTGTGTGAATGAGACACAGAGCGCATTGACTGTGTAGAAGAGGTAAAAGCCCATGTAAATAAGATACCAGTAGGAGTGATGCTGATGAGACCTTAATAAAGCGATGGTGAGGCTTTGAAGCCTCGAGAGCTGATAATGTGTGAAGAAGAAAAGGCTTTCTTTAAAGCCTGCATCAAATGTGTCCATGAAATGGTGCTGCGATGATGCCAGTGCCGCACACTGCACGCTTCAAACCACCCACGTGGGGATGTTTAGGGCAGCGCTGAATTAGGCAGAACGTGTTTGGAGTTACTTAAGGTGGCAAAATCTGGGAAATCAGCACCAACGCTGGTCCTTTATTTCCCAAGGTTGCCATAGTATATGGATCTGCATGTGATTTGGCACAGATTTTATGCCCATTGCCCTTCTTAACACAAGCTTCGCTTTTACAGGAACAGCTAGTAGTTTACTAGCTTGTGAGTCTGTGTGCCCTCCTGGTGTGCAACCACAGACGTTTCAGGTGTGTGGAGAAAGTGTTAACCACATGGAGCCACTGTACTGTAACAGTATAAGATGATAGAAAATTAGAAATTCTTTTAGTTTTTATTTATTTATTCGCTTTGTTGCCTTTTAATATAGAGCTATATATAGAGCTGAGCCAAGAAGGAAACAAAAGCAGAGTGAGGAGGAGGATGTGCCAAAAAAAAAAAAGCACTCCAGCTAACAGTGTTCATGTAGCATGTGCTTTTAACAATTCCACTCACTTGAAATGTATGGGAAAGTGGAATCATTGCTATAGTGTGGGAGAAAGTGTAAAAGGCAATGTGAAAAGATAATGAGGAGCATTAAAGTAGAAATGAAATAACACACTAATGCATAGTTGACTGACAGAAGTTAGTGTTTTAGTAACTGATGAATTATTTTGGTGATTACGGTGGAAAAATGCCAAAGATTGCTTGTGCCAGCTCCTCATTTGTCAGGATTTCGGTGTCGTCCCAGCACTTTTCTACTGTTGTTGTTGTTCAAATAACTTTGAATAGTGAACCTCATTATTTCTCTGTGTTCTAACAGTTTTAGACCAAAGACTCTAAAAGTGAAAGTTGTTAGTTTAGTACAAAGTAAATTAGATTGCACAGTGAGAATCGTTTTATTATCCAGTGTGTTATCTTTTGTCCAGAGGCACAGATCGGCCTCACTCTCGCCTACCCTTTGCTTTCTGTAGTCCCTCTTCCTTACCTGCTGTGTGATCCAAATGAAGTGGGGTTTTTTCCCATTTTACCTGCTTTTCTTCTCTAATTGTCAACTAAAAAACTCATATTTTGCAGGATTAGAAGAGAAACGTTGGCTTCACTATTTAGTTTCTGAAATATTAGATACAGTATGCAGTTCACAGACATAAAAGGTCACAAGAAAATAAGAATTTGCAGTGAACACATTCAGCACTACAGACAAACCACTTGTTTCTTTTTTTTCTTTTCCATTTTAACTGTCGAGGTAAATAGTCTTTGTGTGGTGTGAGGTCTTCATAGAGTTGAATCATCTTAAGGTCTTTTCCCCAAGTTCAAATCGCATCATTTGCATACAACAGCTGAAAGGAGCGCTGCCTAGCAGCGACCTCCCTTTTGATCTTTGCTTTTTTTCTCTCTCATCTTTTTTCCTCTTTAACTTCATCATTATTAAAGCTGGTCTGCTTTTTTTTTTTTTAAAGCATCCAGAACAACTGCTCGCTGATAGAGCTGTAACGTGTCCATGTCCGCCACAACCTTAAAACCCCCCACAGGTACACCCGACAAGCTTCTTAGTGGGCCTGACCATCGAGGTGAAATAATGTGATGCTGAGTGTTGCATGCCTCAGGGCCATGCTACCTCGGGCCTGGTTAGACTGCACTGCTGTAGGTAAAGGTAGCCCTGGCCACACATACACTCTTAGATGAAATCTCCAGGTGACAATGCCTGTGGCTCCCACTCGCAGACAAATAGCTCGTTGATGTTGTGCGCGAGGCATCAGCAGTCCACCCAGTGCTGTTCCATCTAAGATTCATGCGGTGCGTCCGAGAGAAAGGGCAGCCAAAGAGCACCTCCCAGAGGTTTTTCTCCCCGTATAATGCAGTGCCACACCTCCGCAGCGCACAAGGCCTCAGTGGGCTCCGCTGACATGCCTGCTTCTTCTTATTGTGCTGCTAATATATATATATATAATATAATATATATATATATATATATTATATGTATATATATTATATATGTATATATATGTATATATCATATATATATATATTATATATATTTTATATTATATATATTTACTATTTTTTATATTATTATAATATTTATATTTTTTATATATATATATATTTATATATGTGTGTATATAGATATATATAGATATAGATATAGATATAGATATAGATATATAGATATATATATGTGTGTGTGTGTGTATGTATGTATGTATGTATGTATATATGTGTGTGTGTATATGTGTGTGTGTATATATGTATATACATATATGTATATATATGTGTGTGTGTGTATGTCCACAATTGTGCACATAGGTGGAAAGAATGTGTCGTGAGTGACAGAGAGAGATGCCAGGTAGTTTCTTGTTAAGTAACTTAGGGGAGGAAAAAAATTGAAATGATCTCCAATGGAGACTGACAGTTTGCAAGAACATTGTAAAGCGGGGTGAGTAGGCCTGCCCAAGAAAAAGGAGAAGGATCGAGTTAGAAAAAGAATAGGATAACATGGAGGCACGTGGGCCAGATGAGGTATGGAGACGCTGGGCGAGTGGCAGAGCTGCAGAGGAAGACAGTGATGTAGTGGAACCGTGTGGGGTGGGTGGGGGTGAGAGAAGAGTAGAGGAATAATGGATGAGGACAATAGAAGTGCATTAGAGAAGGAGGTGGTGCTCGTGCTCTGTGGACACAAATGCATGAAAACACTGGAATGGGAGTGACAGATGCCTACAACTGTATATACATGCACTTGTTTTGTGTTTAGGTTTAACCTGTGATGATCGGGGTGATTTTTTTTCGAGCATGCACATCTTAGCTTTTAAACGAAAAGCAGATGTTCTACATGGTTTATTGCAGTTTTCTATTAGTCTGTGGTTTTAAGACGTGAGGAAAAACAGTGTGGTTTTGGTTCAGTGAGGGAGCACCCACAGAACAGCCGGAAGATCTTAGTTTTTGTCTGCTAGTAAAAGACGTTTCCAGTAAGGAGTTTTGTCAGCTAAAGTTTAAAAAATGCCGGAAAACAGTACCGTCACCCACCCATCTTCCCCTGCAGATATTCTGTAGCCGTGGCCTCGCGCGCATCCGCACAGATGAGTCCACACAGCCCCACGTCCACACCCACACATGCTCTCATCTGGCCCTTGCAGAAGCCTGTCACTGTGAGTAGCCCTCTGCCATGGGAGGATAAACTACCTGTCATGGCGACGACTTTCTGTGGAATTCATATCAGAGGCAAAACAAAGGAGGTGCCGAGGTCACGGGGCATCACTCTTAAATTATTCATCCTCTGCATCCTCCTTCCGTCTCCTCTCTGCCTGTCGTCCACTTTGTTCTGCCAGCTCACAACAAGGGCAACTGTCAGCCTCTTTTCTATCTCAAAATTTTGGGTATATAAAGTAAATAAATATTATGGTAAGTAAAGAAAATGCTGCTTGTGAAAAGTTATTCATTGAGTGTTTTTAAGCACATCTTTATGTGTAAGTTAATCATATTGCAGGGTTTGGTTAGGGCACCGCTCGTCCCAAACTTCTGAATGTCAGCATCATGAAATTTTAAAATCTGCTTTCCCTCCTTCTCCTTGTTTGGTCCCCTCGCGTGCATAATTGATCAGCGTCCTGGCAGCTGCACTTGGAGAGCGTGTTTATCTACGATGGCACCAAGCTTTGAGAACTTGTTTGAGAACTTACTCAAGGCAGCCATGAAGTCTTATCACCTTTTTTTCCCCTCCAATTGCAGAAACAGTTGGTTACTTTAGGTTTGACCAATGCCTGGGACCAGAAGTTGGCTGACTTCTCTGGGGTGTCAGCCAAGAGCAAAGGAAAGCTTCACCTTGGTGGCGTCCTCCACTGGGCTACCCTGGAGCTGGCTGCTCAGGCAGGGAAAGAAGATGCTGACCTACAGGAGGAACACATTGATCGGCCTAAATTGTTCTACGCCGATCACCCCTTCATTCTCTTCGTCAGAGACAGCGCCACGGGAGCCCTGCTGCTGATGGGAGCTCTGGACCACGTGGAGGGAGAGCCCTTACATGATGAACTGTAGCACCCTCCCTCCTGTCGCGTTATCCTTCTTTTCTCATCTTTGGTGTTTCTTTTCTTTTCGCATCCCCCTCTCAAAAGACTGCACACTGGTTTCTGAGTGGAGACATTGTCATTCACTGTTGCACACAATCGCATCAGACTACGTCTGGCTGTCAGGCTGACACCGCGTAGTCTCACACTGACTGACACTGACACCGACACCGCCATACTCGACAGAGTCACACTCGCACAGTATCACCAACATGGCATATAGAACAAAAATACTGTAAGAGACATTACTAAAGTTGACGGATACACCAAAAACACTAACTTTGAGAGACTACTTGCCTTTTTTTCCCCCCTCCTTCCCCACACACACGCACGCGCAAGGACTCGATCATCAAGTCAACACAATACGAGATGACAAACACCAACATGCTTGACAAGCACAAGTAGTTACACTGACACAACATAAGCAACCGACAAAGAACTTCAACAAACAGAAGCTCGCAGTGACACTTGAAACTCTGCTGTCAGGGCAGGTGCGCGTTTGTGTGTTTGCGCAGTGACCGACACATCAAGGGTACCCCTGTGGCCAGTCTCTAAGCTGGCAGGGACCATTGGCGGGGTCCCCAGGGCTACGTCCAAGGAAGACTGATGGCTCAGCCAAGTGCTTATTGATGAGCCAGCTTAATGCTAATGACTGTAATGCGTTACAACGCTTGTCAACAACACGGAGAGGACGGGGAACCTTTTAATCTCTTAATGCCATCGGGGATCAATGACACCATTATGCTGTTGGAAACAAATGTAACTTACATTACTTGATGTAAATGTAACAAGTTTATATTTAGAAAGATTACACAAACTCAATGACGTCTCCATGTTGAATATATTTTTTTAAATTTAGGACAATGTTTGAATAAAGGGCTGTTTTGGGGGGATTTTTTGAATTCTTTATTGTCAGTCTCATCACTTTTCACTGATTCAAAACAAACAAAAGTGTCCTGTTGATATGTCAGATGTCTGTTGCAGGTAATTTATTTTCCTCAACTTCAACCCTGAACTAAAAGGCCTTGCATGCGCCGCCAGGGTCTATGGAAGTAGATTTAAAGCCCCAAACTGAATCACTTACTGAATTTTAGTGGCAACACATGATAGAATTGCAGTGCATTGAAAGTGTAGCAGGCGACTTTGTCAACACAGTCACAGAATGCTCTCCAACAACCTCAGGTAAAATGCGTTTCTTCCATTTCCACCGATAAATAATTGAGAAATCAAATCTATGGTTGAATAAAAGAAAACGAAGGTCCCTGCTTGCCGTTCCTCTTAAAACAGCGTTCGGGTTTTGGTGTCTTCGGTGTTTGAAGTGTTTTATTTAAAGCACCCGAACATTTTAGGAGACTTTTGCGTTGCACCGGCCGCCCATCTGTCTGCACAAACAAAATACTTGATGTGTGATGGTTTTATCCCAGATGTGTTAAAAGCCTAGCGTCAAACACCGAAAATGTAAATGTGAGATGCATCTGTCTTGTTGCAGTGGTCTAGAGGCACACAGCTGGACTGTCTGATTCACAGCATTCAACAAAATCCCTCTCAGGACCACTGTGCTAGTCCATCCTTGTTCCTAAATTAGCCACCTGTACAGGTCTGCTCGGCAACAGTGCGCGGCGTGCATGTGTACTGTTCCTGTGAAGCCGTGCACCTATAACAATATCCTCTCTGCAGTGGCCGTCTGTGCAGCACAGATTTCTAAAGGGCACTATATAGCGGGTATACTTCATACTGAATAACCCGTGGACTCGATTCAGACAAGCCGATGATGGATCAGTGGTCGTCTGCTGTGAGCTCATCAATCCTGCTTATTCTAACACCGGCTCCCTGCTGGCTCACCTTCACATTTCATTCAGAGCACCTACAACCGCATGCATGTTCCACATCTGCTCACAGGTAGCCAGACATAATCAGATTTTTGAAGAAAAGGGTAAGAAAGCAGTAACTCGATGATGTGGAGCAGTAGCATTCAACCTAGCATAAATCAATCTAGTAATTCGTGATTTGAAGGGAGTTCTGTCAACTAATAATATTTATCCTCCCTTTATAAAGATGTTTTAGGATTTTCCATTTATTTAGTGTAGTTAGGACCTGATATTTACATCTCATTTAATGTAAATTTGGTGGTATGGCTCTATTTTGACACACTCCTGTGTGTGAAATGCAGTAGGCAGGGACATGGAAAGTGGGAGGCATAAAGACCCCGAGCACAGAAGTGATCCAGCATCAGTGACAATATATTGTACAACATGTGACACTGATTAATACACACACGGGATAGAAGAAGGAGCTCAGGTGAAGGTGGGCTGCAGCGACTTGTAAAGGTGCAAGTGGGCAGGTATAATCAGCTCAAATAGCATATATGCTCATACACAGTGGCCAAATGGATATGTAGAAGTGTGCTATCAAAACAATCACCTGGTGAGGGCTGGCAAGATGGAGTTATTGCCTGTCTGAATTAATTCTGTGTCCCATTTCTGACTCGTTTTATTTTTCAAGTGCCCAATTATTTCACAAAAAAAATTTCCAATGTTTTAAAGCAACAGTCCATGATAACTAGTTCAAGTTAAAAGCACCTGAAAGACATGTTCAGTTGCCTCAGAGTAGTGTCTCTGGGAGCACTCTGGCAATACAGAGCAGCAATATTTTTGGACAGGAAGTCAAGGTGAACTGCTTCATGAGCACTACTTGATAGCTTGATACCATTGCCAGTGGTAGTCTCCTTTCAACCATTTCACCGTCACGTGACAGAAAAAGGTTTTGAGAACATTTAATGTTTAATTGCCTGTTGTTAAATAAAATATAATGTGCTAGAGCGACATGAACTTCCTGTCTCCTCCGCTGGCCTACGCAATGGGTTCAACCGTCGGACAGTCCAAGTGGCAGAGAAGAGAGCGTTTAGAGCAAAAGAGCACTCACAGTAGAGCCATGCCAGTTATGGTGCAGTACTTACCCTTTAGAGAAAATCATAGAAGTGACTCTTTATAACTGTGGGTCAACTTTCTCAGTGTATCGCCTCGCTCTTGTTAAAAGCTTGAGATGGGTCATCAGTAAGAGGCAGGCATGTTGTACATGGAAAGAGAGGTTTATGTGGTGAGCTGGAAGGATGGCTTTCTGACATTCTGAAAAGACACACAGGTGGTCAACTTCACACCATTTATAGATTATTCACATGGGGATTTAAAGGGAACTGATGGAATAAGTGATTGTGTATCAGTTTTAATAAAAGTTTACTTTTTTACACGTTTCTTGCACTGGGTTGGACTGAAAGTTGCTTTCAAAATTTCATTAGCTTTCTTAACCCTAACCCCACAGGTTAGAGGTTTCTCTGCTCCGATTAAAGAATTAACTCTAAACTAGCACTGAACTTTAAGAACAAGTTTTCAGGAGAAAACAAAGGAGCTTATAACATCTGGTATTTCAATTTTCGCATCCAAAATGACCAGAGCTTACCCTGCTTTACTTGGTGGTCAGGGTAATCTGGCCATAAGCTGCTCTGTCGAGCAAAGACTGGCATTTTATTGACTCAAATGGTACACTGGGCCATCTCTGCTCTCACTCAGAAACTCAACCCTCCCAATGTGCTCCAACTTTAACGCTAGCTGTAACCTCATGGGTCAGAGGATCCACTGCTGTGAATAAAGAGTTAACACTGATGCCAACTCTGAACTTTAAAAACAAGACATGTATGACTTTCTTTATATATATATAAAAAAAAAGACAGTTGACAATCAGATGCAGTCTCCCATCCAAGTACTAACCAGACCCTACCCAGCTTAGCTTTTAAGCTCTCAAGTGATCCAACATGGTCAGTGCACCCTGCTATAAGGAGCTCCTTTGGGTACAAACAGGCAATTAATGGATTCATACAGTGAAACTAGCTGTCTGTGTAAACCTGACATAACTATAACCCTAGCTGTAAACCCAACCGAGGTCATAACCCTAACCCTGTCCCTTACATCATGGGTCAGAGGTTTCTCTGCTCTGACTAACTTTGGCTATACTCTATAACCAAAACTAAACTGTAGGAGCAAGACATGTAAGACTCTAAAACAAAAAGAAAAAATTAGAACAACTATTTTTGGTCATCCATCAAAGCACTAACCAGCCCCTATCCAGCTTAGTTTCTGCCATCAGAAATAGCACACGCTCAAGGAGGTATGGCCATAAGCTGCTCCTTGCTTAACAGACTGGAAATTTTACAGATTCAAATGGCTGTCTCTGATCTCATTCAAAAGCCCAACCCACCCAATGTACTCCAATGCAAACACTAATTATGGTGATCCATGAACAACACCAGCAAAGGAATATCAGATACACAGAGCGTGAGTAGGCAGGTGAGCTGATGGAGTCTGTTTTACAGGGAAGGATTCCAGGTCAAAAGGATTAGCTTGACAGAGACAGACAAGTAGATCTGACAAGAAACCCATGGAGGGAAGCTCCCTGTAAACACTTATTGTGCTGATTTTAACTCAAGAAGAGGTTTGGAAGTCTTTAGTCATCGACTCATCTCTCTGCAAACCTCTGTGACTTTAGGCGGTCTGAGCTGAGCTGTTGTGGTTGCTAAACACTTCCACTTTCCAAAATTACCACTTACAGTTGATTGTGGAATATCCAGGAGGGAAAAATGACATGAACTGCCTACATTTGAAGTCAGAGAGCTCTATAGAACAACCCATTCTTTCTCAAAGGTTTGTGAAGACAGGCTGCATGGCTTGGAGCTTGATTTTTACACCTGTGCCTATGGGGGTAATACACAGTAATATGCCCTGACAGGCAGGTTGGAGTTTTACTGACCAATGGGGCTAAGCTAGTCAGAATAGTCATTGCACTCTCCCTGCAGTATTCCAAGAGGAAGCTGTAAGTCAAGTCGAGTGTGTCAATATGTGAACTGTTTGAACTAGATGGTTTCATATAAAAATATGTCAAGTTTAAATATTGAAAGGTGGGATCCCCCTTTCAAATCACAAGCCCATAAAAGTATTTTCAAGGCAAAATATAAAACAATAGCTTTACTCTGTCACTGTTGTCTGTTGTCTTTCTCACCAGGAGATAGTTAATCTGCCCGAAGCAGGCTGTCTGCGGCAGCCAATATTAATGTTATTGATCATTGTCAGCTCTTGTGTTTCTTCCAACCTCAGATCACACTGGGGTGTGCAGTTTCTTTGCTTTTTTCTTTCCAGTAAAAGCTTCTTTTTTCATTAGTCCCCTTCTCTGTTCTTCTCCCCAATAACCTGTCTACTTTATTGCACACAGTCCTTAGAAAGTGACAACTTGGGAAACTGAATCAAAGTTTCAATAAAGCCTGGACTGCTGCAGGCTTTGACAAGTAAGGTGGATGGAGTGGAGGAGTACAGAAAGAGACTGAAGAAGGACATATCGGTTCCAGAAAGATAAATAGTTCATGAAGCTGTTGACTCCACCATTTTATTACTTTTGGCTAAGAATTTTCCACCCGCCTGCAGCTCTTTCCGCCTACAAATTATTCATCGCACTTCCCACAGGTCTTAGCTGTCAATCCCAGAATTAGGTGTTTGTAGGGAAGATGGGAGCTGGAAGTTTGTCGCGAGATCAGGTGCATGCATACTCAGAAAGAGCTTGATAAAACTATAAAAGCTATTATAATACCATACAATCATTTCAGCTACACTTTCAGACAAACTCTGAATGCACAATCAAAGAGAAACGCAAAATTAATAAATATATGGATAGGAGACTTCAGTTCAAATCAATTTTATTTATATAGCACCAAACCACAACAACAGTCACCTCAAGGCTCTTTATATTGTAAGGTAGACCCTACAATAATACCTAGAGAGAGAAACCCAACAATCATATGACCCTCTATATACAAGCACTTTGGCGACAGTGGGAAGGAAAAACTCCCTTTTAACAGGAAGAACCAGGCTCAGGGAGGGGCGGGGCCACCTGCTGCGACCGGTTGGGGTGAGAGAAGGAAGACAGTATAGAAGACATGCTGTGGAAGAGAGACAGAGATTAATAACAAGTATGATTCAATGCAGAGCGGTCTATTAGCACAATTAAAAATGAAAGGGTTAAAGAATACTGAAGCAAATTTGAACAAATGCAAGAATTTGTCACATCTTATGAACGATTTAGTCTTCATGTAAATTTACATGTACTATTAATTTTGGTGCATTTAATTGTATATTTTCCGAGTGATTTATTTGTTTTTATTTATTTATCTATTTTTATTTAGTCGTTTCAGGTGCTCAAGGACTTAACAGCATGACCGCTGTCACCAATAATTTGCTTCTGATGCGTTCCCCAGCAAATCTTTAAACAAGGATCACTCATAAAAAATGCATAAATATGGAACTCTGTGATAATGCTGGGAAGAAATGCATTTCTTACAGTTCATATTTCATGAGTCAAAATGTTCATTTGTACAAAAGTAGCTCGCAGCTCAGTTTTGAAAAGTTCGGACTGCTGTGACTGTTTTGACAGCGCGACTGTAATCTTTTCGCTGCATCTGTCATTGCATATTCAGTGTGTGCGTTTCCACTCACATGCTGTAAACCTCAGACAAATTGAAAGTGCAGAATGTTCACACTGGGTTGGTAAAGCCATCAACCTGGAAATGGAAACCTTGTCAGCGGTGAAGAATTGATGGTCATGGCTTCCCAGCCACCCACAGTGACTCTCTCTGCAGGATTAGAACAACATTATTCAGATTGCAGATGAACATTAGACTGGGATATCGCTCAAATCACGACATACCGTATGTGCTCTACCTCAATCCAGCCAGTGTTTGTGAACATGAACAGCTGTCATCCAAAGCCAGAAATAGCACACTTCCAGGACTTACCTGCTGCGTCGAGCAGACTCGCTGCCTCAGCGGTGCTTCATAACCAGTGAGTGGAAATCAGATTTTGTGAGCCGGCAGATGTTTGCTTTATGTTTTCTATTAAAGCTAAAGGCGATTTTTGAATAGAGACAATACCAGTGTTCAACCAAACTTTTTTCCAGTATGTAAAAGCGATTGCTGTTCTTTCCCTTTTTTTTTCCTTCCTCTGATGCACTACATATATGCAATATTGTAATATTGTATGCAGTATATACAATAGCTTCTGCTTCCACATCATCACCCAACCTGTCAGTAATACAAATGCAATCTAACATGTGTTCAGTCTCAATATAGAATAATAAATAGGGATTGTGAGGGGGTATAGCTCAGTGGTAGAGCATTTGACTGCAGATCAAGAGGTCCCTGGTTCAAATCCAGGTGCCCCCTGTTTTAGGGCAGGGATAGCTCAGTAGTTAGAGTGGTCGCCCCAAGGTCGGGGTTTCGAATCCACTGAATAGGTACCCTTGAGCAAGGTCCCGTCCCTACACACTGCTCCCCGGGCGCCTGCTTAGTGGCGGCCCACTGCTTCACTGAGTGAATGGGTCAAATGCAGAGAAAAGCAAGTAATTTCCCCACAGGGATCAATAAAGTATACATCATTACTATTATTAGATTTATTGTAGCTTTGTCCTGATTTCAGTATACCAGGCAGGTCATTGGGTCAAGACAGTGTGCACAGTATATACTTCTGTTTTTTTTTTTTTCTTATTTTGTTTGTTTTTGGAGATGAAGGGAAAACAGGCAAAAAAAAGTGTAACCAATTCGTGAAAGATTGCACTAATCCCCTTATGCAGTGGTCGTAAATCCAGCTACAGGCATCACCTTAGCATGACTGCAAATGATAAAAAACAACATTTAAATATTAATATAGAAAATTTCCACAAGTATTATACCTAGCAGAGATGGGCAGTAACGTGTTACAAGTAATGTGTTACTGTAATCCGATTAATTTTTTCAAGTAACGAGTAAAGTAAGGGATTACTATTAGGTAATTACATTACTGTTATTTTCACGTAAGAACTCTATGTTACTACGTTACTAACTAATCGCGATTTTTTTTGCGAGAGTGTCTCATGACAGTGACTTAAGCGAGTGCGACGTTCGTGGCACCAGCTGTGTGCAGATCAAAAATGGATCATATAACAAGTGCGACAGAGTATGAGCGTGCAGCGTTTAAAGCGTGGAAGTACTGACCTTACTTTGAGTTTGATTCTGTAAAAAGTGACAAAAACATTAGCGTCCGCTGTTCACTGCGTGGGAAGAAAAATTCTTTTTACAGCGAAAAAACTCCTAAACTTCCGAGCAAGCACCAAATACACTGCCGCTGGAAGGTGAAATTCACAGAGAAACTGCCGTATCCTTCCATTGACCGCCGCGACACACCTGCACCAGGGTAAACCTCCACCTGCCCCACTCCTGCTATACAGGTGAAAATAGAGCAACAGGACCACTGAGTCTTTGATTTTATTTATTTTCTGCTGTGTTTTACTTGCATCTATTTGAAAGAGTGAGTGCAAACACAAAAAACTATTATATTTTATGTGCTGGAAAGTGTAGAGAATAGGTTTAAAAGTTAAACAAATTTCTTCCAGTCAGAGAATGCTGTATATAATTTAATGTTTGCTTGATGCATAAAGTTAAAAAGATTAAAACTGATAAAACCAGTTTTAAAAAGAGATTTTTTTCATTTTATTACATTTTATATGATGGATTATGCAGAAACAGTAGAATTGGGCTGAAAGATCTATTGCTTTATTACTTATTTAGGGTGTAAATCCTGTTTTGAAAAGTAACTAAGTAACGAATTACTTTTGAAAATAAGTAATCAGTAAAGTAATGGGATTACTTTTTTCAGGAAGTAATCATTAATTAGTTACTAATTACTTTTTTCAAGTAATTTGACCAACACTGATACCTAGCCCGAGTGCCGACCCCGACCTATGCTCTGACAACCCTCACTAATATTTAACACAAGAAGTGCGCAAATAGGGAGGGAATAGTATTGTATTTTCTGTAAAGTCATTCTGTTTTTTCCACTTTTTAAATGTACTTTAGGAAGTTTGTAGTGCAATGGAAACATATGCAATGTACAGGCTTTTCTTATTTGCCCTGTTTGAAATCCATTTTATACTTTTAAATATAATTTTTGAGTAGAATTATTCTTTTTTTTTTTTTAAATGGATTAATTATTTAATAATGTAACACATTTTAGGCAGATGTACAACATAAAAGTGAAATCAGAGGTCAAATGTTACATGATAATTTTTTACATGCTGACAATACACACCACTTGTAAGAAGCATAGTTTCTCAATTACAAGGATTTCAGTTTTCTAGCAATGAATCATTAAGTTGACCTTTAAGACCTTGGTCAACTTAAGAAAAGCTTGTTAGTTCTTCATCACGCTGTCTGTGAACAATTAGCCACCACAAAACTGACGGGACAGCAAGGCTGATATGCATAGCTCCGTTCCTATTTAGGCTATATATAAGTGTAGGTTAATAATAGACATGGTCAAGATAATTCGCTGTTTGGTCTAAATGTGCTCCATGCAAGAAGACTAGTTTAACTGTATCATACTTGACACATGAGACTATGTGAGTGTTTGACTCCACATCCTCAGTGTGATTTTCTTTCCTGAAAAACCAGAATAAATTGCACAATACATTTTTTAAGCAACAACTTGCACAGAAATGCCAGATTAAGCAAAAAGATACAAATGTAAAGTTAAATATGCAAATTTATTTTATTATTATTTTTATTATTTTTTTGGTAAGGTGAGGTTAAAAAAAATGTTAAAAATGTTAAAAGAAAATTATTTGATGGTTCGGGCTTTACAGAGTTATGAAAACACTCTGACATCTTCTAATTTTCCTAATTTCACTCATATTTGTCCCTTTACAGCGTTGGTCCGTTATTTTTTTAACCTAGCATAAATTATGCAAGCAATTTCAATGAAGAGAAAGCGGCAGAGAAAAAAATGCCAGATTCTGAGAATATG